TTGGATTTAGGAGAATGGTATTGTTAAAGTTGATAGCATGCTTTTTATATTGCAAGCATTCCCACAGCCTCCTCCTCTCCTGGCTCTGGCAGCTGTGTGGCCTCCCGTCTTGCTTGATGTGCTGTAGCTGACCCAAGCCATCCCTATCACACGGGCTGAGCATTGAGCTTGTTCTCAATTTTTCACTTTGTGTAAACAGCTCTGATAAAGATGCTTATAGCATTATGGGTTGTTTTTTGTTTTTTGTTTTTTTTTAGCATCCATGATTTCCTTAGGAAAAATTCCTAGGAGTGAGATTTCTGGGTCATACAATGTAACTTTGTTTTTTTTTTTTTTTTTTTTGATATGGAGTTTTGCTCTTGTTGCCTAGGCTGGAGTGCAGTGGTGTGATCTCGGTTCACTGTAACCTCTGCCTCCCGGATTCAAGTGATTCTCCTCCTGCCTCAGCCTCCTGAGTAGCTGGGATTACAGGCATGCGCCACCACACCTGGCTAATTTTGTATTTTTAGTAGAGACGAGGTTTCTCCACGTTGGTCAGTCTGGTCTCAAACTCCCGACCTCAGGTGATCCGCCCGCCTCGGCCTCCCAAAGTGCTGGGATTACAGGCATGAGCCACTGTGCCCAGCCACGATGTAGCATTTTCAAGCCTTTCTATATGTTTTGGCCAACTTCACCTCCTCATATGCCCCCTGGGACAGGAGGAAAGGAAGACAGGAAGGCTCACACAGTGTCTTTGCCCTGGCTTCCACGGGACAGTGCCACTGGCATCTCAGGTCTCTCCATAGATCTGGGAACAATTCACTAACTTTACATGATGGTCTGCAATCACCCCATTATAAGAGTACTTCATTCATAAGTCTTTTGAGCAACATTCTGGGTGAAGATCTGGTATTAGAGCCAGTGGTAGTATACACCTAGGGCCTGTGCCACCAAGCGTGCTGTAGACTCAAAGCTCTGTGCTTCCCTTGCCACCGAGTACCCTTCCCTTTCCATGCCCCACCCCCTCCACCCGGAGAAGGCACAAAAAAGAGAGAAGAGCACTGCACATTCCATGCATGGAGACAACCTTCCCCATGTGGGTAAGGAATGAAGTGGTGCGATTGATGCTTTCTCAACCAGAACAAGATGTTCCTGTTTAAAGATGGTCTGAAAATGGATCCTTTACTGATTTCTTGGAATTTATATTATGCTGTCCTAAACTTATCTTTGCAACAGGAGCAGAGATGTTCTCATTGCTCTAAGTATTTTTAGATCTCTGCCTTAGGAATATCTTCCGTTTGTGCCATATGGTGGGGGCAGGAATGGTGGGAGCCTGTCACTCCTGCTAAATAATGATGATGGTGGTGATGATGGAGGTGGCAATGATGGTGGTAGTGGTGGTGATGGTGGTGGCAGCTAGATGGTGATGATAATGGTGATGGTGTGATGATGGTGATGGTGGTGCTGGTGATGGTCGTGGTGATGTGATGATGGTGATGGTGGTGGTGATGGTGTGATGGTGTGATGGTGGTGGTGGTGGTGGTGGTGTGATGGTGATGGTGCGATGATGGTGATGGTGGTGCTGATGATGGTCATGGTGATGTGATGATGGTGATGGTGGTGGTGATGGTGTGATGGTGTGATGGTGGTGGTGGTGGTGTGATGGTGATGGTGGTAATGATGGTGATGATGGTGGTGATGATGGTAATGATGGTGATGATAGTGGTGATGGTGACGATGGTGTTGATGGTGTGATGATGGTGATGGTGTGATGGTGATGGTGGTGGTGGTGTGATAGTGATGGTAATGATGTTGGTGATGGCAATGATGATGGGAATAATAGTGGTGATGATGACGGTGGTGTTGATGGTGTGATGGTGGTAATGATAGTGGTGGTGGTGATGGTGTGATGATGGTGAAGGTGGTGATGATGGTAATGATTTTGATGATGGTGATGATTGTGTGATGATGCTGATGATGGTGGTGATGGTAATTTTGGTAATGATGGTTATGAAGGTGATGATAGTGGTGATGGTGATGGTGGTGGTGATGGAGTGATGGTGGTAATGGTGGTGGTGTGATGATGATGATGGTGATGGTGATGATGATGGTGGTGATGGTGATGATGGTAATGATGGTGATGATGGCAGTGATGGTGATGGTGGTGATGATGGTGGTAATGATGATGTTAATTATGGTGATGGTGGTGGTGACGGAGTGATCGTGGTACTGGTGGTGGTGTGATGGTGATGATGGTGATGATGGTGGTGATGGTGATGGCAGTGATGATGGTGGTAATGATGATGGTTATGATGGTGATGATAGTGGCAATGGTGACAGTGGAGGTGATGGAGTGATGGTAATGGTGATGGGGATGATGATGGTGATGATGGTGATGACAATGGTGATAGTGATGGTGATGATGGCAGTCATGGTGATGGTGGTGATGATGGTGGTAATGATGGTGATGGTGGTGGTGATGGAGTGATGGTGGTAATGGTGGTGGTGTGATGATGGTGATGGGGATGATGGTAATGATGGTGGGGATGGCGGTGATGATAGTAATAATCGTGATAGTGGTGATGGTGATGGTGGTGATGATGGAGTGATGATGGTAATGGTGGTGGTGGTGGTATGATGATGGTGATAATGGTGGTGATGGTGATGGTGGTAATTGTGGTAATGATGATGTTAATGATGGTGATGATAGTGGTGATGGTGGTGGTGATGGTGGTGGTGATGGAGTGATGATGGTAATGGGGGTGGTGGTGGTGTAATGATGGCGATGGCGGTGATGGTAATGATGGTAATGATGGTGATGATGGTGGTGATGGTGATGATGTGATGGTGATGATGGTGGTGATGGTGATGATGATGGTAATGATGGTGATGATGGCAGTGATGGTGATGGTGATGGTGGTGGTAATGATGATGTTAATGATGGTGATGACAGTGATGGTGGTGGTGATGGAGTGATGGTGGTAATGGTAGTGGTGGTGGTGTGATGATGGTGATGGCAGTGATGGTGATGATGGTAAAGATGGTGATGATGGTGGTGATGGTGACAGTGATGGTGGTGATGGTTGTGGTTGTGGTAATGATGGTGATGGTTGTGGTGGAGGTGGTGGTTGTGGTGATGATGGTAATGGTCATGGTGGTGGTGGTGATGGTGGTGATGATGGAGATGATTTGCTACATGTTTATTAAGCTCATGCTCTTGTGCCCTTGCAGGTGGAATGCATGGATGACCATGAAGCCAGTCAGGCCCTGGAGGAGGTAACTCTCAGGGTGGTTTCCCCTCTGGAAGAGCTCAATGGAGCATACACGGACTGTGTTCTGTACCTTCTTGTTGAGTGCCTGGGTAAAGGGAAGGCTGGAGGGAGGGATAGAGCATCAGCACCAGTTTTGCCTCAGCTGTGAAGCCAGCAGCCCCAGGTCGTGAAGGGAGGCCATGCCCCAAACACTCACTGCTAAATGCAGGTGCCAACAACTTAGAACATATATTCCCAGAGAACATAAAGTTTAAATATTGGGCTGCACACAGTGGCTCACGCTTGTAATCCCAGCACTTTGGGAGGCCGAGGCGGGTGGATCACCTGAGGTCAGGAGTTCAAGACCAGCCTAGCCAACATGGGGAAACCCCATCTCAACTAAAAATACAAAAAAATTAGCTGGGCATGGTGGTGAGTGCCTGTAATCCCAGCTACTTCAGGAGGTTGAGGCGGGAGAATCGCTTGAACCTGGGAGGCGGAGGTTGCAATGAGCTGAGATCACACCATTATATTCCACCCTGGGCAATAGAGCAAAACTTCGTCTCAAAAATAAATAAATATTGGCCAGGTCCCTAGGTTAATCTACCAATAACTGTTTTTTAAATATTTTTTCTTCAATATAAAATTATTAATTACAGAAGAAAATTTTTTAAATACAGAATTGGCTTTTCTTTTGCTTTTACCTTTTTTTTTTCTCTAATAACAATGGAGTCTCACCATTTTTGCCCAGGCTAATTTTGAACTTCTGGGCTCAAGCAATCCTCCCACCTCGGCCTCCAAAGTGCTGGGGTACAGGCATGTACTACCATGCCCATACCAGAATTGTTTAACAAAGCAAATGTAAATTATCCTTCATTCTACCATTCAGAGCTGCCCAGCAGTAACATAGTCATTTACAATAATAGCGATAACAGCTGCACTTCGGTTTGATTGGCAAAGCCTCTGAGTAGCCTTTCTTTGTGTTTCTTGAATTTCCCACGAGCTTGAAGGTGTCCCTTCCTATCTCATGGTCACTTGTTTGTCTTCTGGAATTGCTGGCTCTGCAGCTTGGCCAGCAAACATTATTCGGTGTATAGTGTGACTGAAGCACAGTGGTGGGCCCAGGCTACTCGGTAACAAATGGGAAGAAAGAGCATGGGGGCCCACCCAGAGCCGCATGCCGCCATGGCTTTTCCCATTGCCAATTCAATTCCACGGCCCACTAGGCCAGCTCCTTTCACACCCAACCTTCCACCACAAGCAGTTGTCTGTCTGGCTCCACGTCTCTAAGGCAGCCCTGTCTGCTCCTGTTTGGGCATGTTTCAAAGCACTTTCCGCCAGGGCAGGGGGCACTGGGACCTCTCCGTGGGCCCACCTCCCGGTGGCTGCACCACCTCCTCCGGCCAGCCCTGGCTGTGGCTGATCCCCACCTTCCTGGCACTGCCTGCCACAGCTCACTCAGTCCCCGTGGCATCCCTGTGAGGCAGATTCCACTGGGACCCCCATTTTCAGATGACAATATGAGGCCCAGTCGCCCAGCACAGCCAGCACATGCTGGAGACAGGACTCACATCGGACTGCCTGGCTCCTAACCACCGTGCAGCCTCCCTGAGCCCGCTCCCCGGCCCGGCTCAGAGCCCGAGGCTTGCATGTTTCTTGGGATGTGTGACAGAGAAGCCCGAGCTGAGAAAGGCGTGAAGAGGCGCTGACTTCTCCGTTTCCTGTGCTCTCATCCTGGCAGCTGATGCCACTGCTGAAGCTGCGGCACGCCCACATCTCTGTGTACCGGGAGCTGTTCATCACGTGGAATGGGGAGGTGGGTCAGAGCTGACGTCTATGGGCTGAGCCGCCGCGTGGTGGGCTGTGGGACCAAGCCGAGTGAGCCCAGAGCACGCCCACCCCCCACCGTCAGAATAGCTCGTGTGGCAATGGCAGTGACTCTAAATGTGGCCATACCTGACCTGACACTCACCGGGGCCAGGTACCATGCTGGGGGCTTTCCGTGCATGGTCTTGTAGGAGCCCCAACAACCTCATTAGGGTTTTTTTTTTTTTTTTGAGACAAAGTCTCGCTCTTGTCCCCTGGGCTGGAGTGCAATGGCATGATCTTGGCTCACTGCAACGTCTGCCTCCCGGGTTCAAGCGATTCTCTTGCCTCAGCCTCCCAAGTAGCTGGGATTACAGGTGCGTGCCATGACGCCCAGCTAATTTTTATATTTTTAGTAGAGACGGGGTTTCACCATATTGACCAGGCTAGTGTCGAACTCCTGACCTTAAGTGATCCACCCGCCTCAGCTTCCCAAAGTGCTGGGATTATAGGCTTGAGCCACCATGCCTGGCCAGGAGGGGTTCTCAACCCATTTGACAGAAGAAGAGACAGAGGCTAACAGAAACAAGTTGCTCCAGTTTACCCAGCTAGTACGTGACCAAGTCAGAGGGCCAGGCGAGGTGGGCCTGATTCCCGGGCTCTGCACACAGCCACCGAGCTTGTCCTGGTGAGCCTGTGCCTCTGATGACAGAGTTTCTACTTTCATGGAAGGAGCTAGTTGACCCCCGTCTCCACAGCCACCCGACACAAGTGCTGTCCTGGGCCTGTGCGCCCCTTCCTCCTGCAGCCCCGGTGCAGCTTACTGACCAGCACCACATCCGTCATCACGTGCCAGGAGGGCTGCAGGGCAGGAAGCACGGTCCCTGTGCTCCTGATGGGGCCTAGGGCTCTGGTTTAGGAGCTCTCCAAGGCCACAAAGCTAGTAAACAGCTGACTGGGGACAGAGACTCAGGTCCGGCAGCCGGGTCCTGTAGGCTGGATGACTTCTTGTCTTTACAAGGAGCCTGGAGCTTTCCAGTCACTTCCAATGTGTCTGAGGCAGACAGCGGGAGGCTGAGAAGGCACAAGGGGTGCTGGAGGTAAAGAGAGGCCGAGAAGCCTTCTGCCGGGCGCCAGCCTGCATGAGACGTCCACATTGGCGTTCCCACCTGGGGCCAACAATCCCGGGTCTGAGCAGGAAAGGCCCCTCACATGCTCCTTCTGCTCCAGCTGGGTCTCGGGGAGGGGACCTCACGGCATGCACTCCCAGAGATTTTTCTGAGCACCCACTGATGCTCTGAAGGAGGGTGCAGAGAAGCCAAGAGGACATTTCCCTATGGGAGGGAGCACAGAACTGGGGGCCCTGACCCGGTCTGCTGGGGCTCTGGCCAGGTCCGGCTCCTTAGAGGAAATGGATCTGAGCTGAGCCCTAAAGGGTGAGTAGTTATCCCTATGAAGGGGGTAGGTAGTGGTCCAGGCAGAGGGGTCCAGGTGTGCAGTGGCCAGGGGACAAGTGCAGCTTTCGGGAAAGTCCGAGTAGCTTGGTGTGGATGGAGTGTGGAGTGGGGGTGGGGCCTGGGAATGGGGAGAGGAGAGAGAGGAAACTGAAGGTGGGGCAGGAGGGGCTTGTAGCCTCCTCCAGTGGGCAGTGCTCCCATGACCACTGCGGATGGCAGCTGAGTGCAGGGAGGCCCTGGAGCAGGCGAGCCTGTAGGAGCATGGGGCCCTGGGCATCCCCTGGATAAGGGCCTCCTGTCCCAGCAGATCTCTTCTCTGTACCTCTGCCTGGTGATGGAGTTCAACAAGCTCAGCTTCCAGGAGGTCATTGAGGATAAGAGGAAGGCAAAGGAAATCATTGACTCTAAGGTAAGATCCTCTGGGCACCAGGCCTGGGGGCCACCTAGACCTGTGACACAGGCCCTGCAGCTCGGGGCAAAGTGACAGCGGGAAGGCAGGCACCATGGAGTCCAGCCTTGTTTTTTTCTTAAATGTATGCCTCGAGGCATTGCACCCTAGGACGCGTGCAGATCTTAAGTGCACAGTTTGGTGCACTCATACAACTTCTACCCAGATCAAGGCAGAAGGCGTTCCTAACCACAGAAGGTTCCCAGTTGGTGACCATGATTCCAGATTGTTCTGCCAGTCGGTCCCTGAAGTTCACGTAAATGGACTTCTCCGGCATGCCGCACGCTCCTGTCTGGTCTCCTTCCCTCAGCTGCTGCATGCACCCGCAAATCATCTGTGCTCATTGCTTGCTGCCACTCTGCTGCCTGGCTGCCCGGCAGGCTGGTTCCCTAGTCTTGTGTGGATAAGCACCTGGCCTCGCTGCAGGCTGTTTCCCTAGTCTTGTGTGGATAAGCATTTGGGCTGCTTCCAGTTTGGGGCCATTGTGAATAAGGCTGCTATGAGCATTGCTGGAAGGCACTCACTTTTCTGGGATGAATACCTGGGAGTGGAATTATTGGGTCGTAGAATAGGTGTGTGTGTAGCTTTGGTAGATGCTCCAAACAGATTTCCAATGTGGTTTGGTTGGCCCCATGTTTACTCTCACAAGCTGTGAGCATTCCCGGTCCACATGGCGGCCAGCGCTTCACTGTGTCAGTCTTGTTGTTGTCGTTGTTGAGATGGAGTCTCACTCTGTCGCCCAGGCTGGAGTACAATACACGATCTCGGCTCACTGCAACCTTCGCCTCCCGGTTCAAGTGATTCTCCTGCCTCAGCCTCCCAAGTACCTGGGACTAAAGGTGCCCACCATCGCACCCAGCTAATTTTTGTATTATTAGTAGAGACAAGGTTTTACTATGTTGCCCAGGCTGGTCTCGAACTCCTTACCTCAAGTGATCCGCCCACCTCAGCCTCCCAAAGTGCTGGAATTACAGGCGTGAGCCACCGCGCCCGACCAGTTCACTTTCTTAATGATGTCTTTTGATGACAGAAAGTCCTAACTGTAATGAAGTTCGCTTTCCCAATGCTGTCTCTTATGGTTAGTGCCTTTGGAGTTTAGGAAGCCTTTTGTGCTCCAAGGTCATGAAGATACTCTCCTCGGTTCTGGAAGTTTGGTCGTTTTTGCCTTCGCATTTAGATCTTTCATCTCCCCCAGAAGAATGCTGCCTGCTTTTACCCTGAGAACGGTGTTTGGTGGGAGCATGTGCCCCTGAGGGGCTCTTCGGGGCACACAGCTCTTCTCTTACTGTGGGCCTCAGAGGCAGGCCCGAAGTGGGTTTCAGACTTTGAGTGAAGCCCTTAAAACACAAAATGTTCCCAGAAACCCAGTAAGTGCAGCAGACCTACTCTAACTGGGGAGAGTGGGAGGATGCTCACGTCCTGCCCCTTCAGCCCCTCTCTGACACCCCAGGGTGGCCCTGAATCCAGGGACCCTAGGAGCCCAACTTCAGAACCACCGCCCTGGGTACTCGATGGAGCTTGTCTCTGACGCCGAACACTCCCAGCATTCTCTCTCAGGGTTCTTTTCATTAGAATGACTTAGAGGAACGAGCTTGTGTAGGCACTGAAGGCTTCCACCCCTCCCATACCCGCAAGGCCCATCTGCCTCCAGCTCCCGGCAAGCGTGGGGCAGTGCGGGCCGCAGGGTGGGGTGCAGGGATGGGGCCCTGCAGCACCCGGGGTCTCTGGTATAGAGACAGCAGTGTGGAGTCTGGAAACTCAGAGTCCTTCTGGCTGCCGCCGCGGCTTTACCATCTGGAGAGCCACCACACTGAAGCCTCCTCCACCCTGAGCGCTTGGCTGGCTTCAGGCCTGTCTCAAGATGCAGGGAGAGAAAACACCACCATCCTGCTGGCTGCTCTGAGTGTCACCCCCCGAAAGCAGCACAGGGCGCCCCTCCCATCCTGGCACCCCCTGCTTCTCCCCCAGTGGATGCAGAATGTGCTGGGCCAGGTGCTGGACGCGCTGGAATACCTGCACCATTTGGACATCATCCACAGGTGAGTGGGGCCCCTGACCTCCCTGGACTGGTGGGCTGCTTCGGGAGAAAAGGCACTGAGGCCACTCGGGTGCCAGTGCCCGTGGGCAGGATCTGGGGAGAAAGGCGCACTGGGCCAGTGCAGCCAGGATAGGATGGGGACCTTCCAGACCTCCTCCCAGGCTCAAAAGAGGCTCTTCCAAGTGGTCTCAAGCCATGTGCACACGCACAGCTGCATGGGGTGTGCGCTAGCCAGGCGGGCTGCTCTAGAGTTCATGGAAAGGAAGGAGGCAACAGCCCTGCCAGGAAGAGAGACCAGGCTGCCTGTCGTGGCGCCGGTGTTGTCTGAGTGGGCCCTGCTGAGCCTTTGACCACCCAGCGGCACAGCATCAGGCTGGAGAATCCACGGTCTGAAGGGGCTGGGAGATGGCTCCAATTCTGAACACCAATATCGTATTTAAAGAGGAAGAGGGAACCCATGTGGCTGGGCATGGTGGCACATGCCCGTGGTCCCAGCAGCATGGAGGCTGAGGTGGGAGGATTGCTTGAAGCCAGGAGCTTGAGGCTTCAGTGAGCTATGATCGTGCCGCTGCACTTCAGCCTGGGCAACCCTGACTTAAAACACACAGATACACACACACACATACACACACACCACGCAGAACATATGTACAAAGGGAATGCTTCACATTCCACATTCAGTGTCATGTCACTAGACATCGCACAATGGCCAAAAATCAATACCCAGTCAAATGCATCGCTGGGCTATCTAAGGAGGTGAACATGTCAACCCAGGGACCTTTCCGGGTGTTGGGGGTGTTCCTACTTGTGGTTGGAGATTCTTCCCCCGGTTTAAAATAATTGAGTACATTTCTGTACATAGAAACAACTGCTTAAAAAGTAGGCTGAGATGGGGCATTTTGTGGAGGGGAGGAGGGTGTGGGCTGCTGCCTCAGAACCGGGTGGGGCAGGGAGCAGAGAGTCAGGCTCAGCACGCACGTTGGTCCCACCTGGGGTCGGGGGTGGTGGCTGCCCAGGTGGCCCCTTGGCACCCAGAGGCGAACCCCCTTCTTGGTTTCAGGAATCTCAAACCCTCCAACATCATCCTCGTCAGCAGTGACCACTGCAAACTGCAGGACCTGAGCTCCAACGTGCTAATGACGAACAAAGCCAAATGGAATATCCGTGCGGAGGAAGGTGGCAGGGGCTCCCCTAAGTCGTGGGAGAGGGGGTTGGCACCTAGAATCCAGACGGTGGTGGCCACTCTGGGTGCTGGAGTGAGGCAACATCAAACAGCTGTTTGCTCAGAAGGTCCCCACAAAGCCCTAGCCTTGTGTGGACCCCAAAGAGACCTCCTTTGGGTTGTAACTGAGCAGGCGTGCCACCACCAGGGGCAGAGGCAGGGCCCCAAAGACACCCAGCATTTGAGAGAAACAAAGTCGTGGTTGTTTGTGATACCCCAGAAAATGTTGCTTCTCAGGGAGGGAAAAGAAAGCTTCGGAAGGAAGGAAACGAAAATGCCCAGGACGGAGGGTCTGTGGGTGCCACGCACTGACTGCGTGTAGATCACTGAGTCCTAAAACAACCCAGGAGATGACTGGGGTGGGTGGCAAGGAGAGACGAGTTCTCGTTCCTTCGAAAAGATGGCCGGAGAAAGGAGGCTGGAGAGAGTAACCACAGAGGAGGAGTCCAGAGTCCAAAGTCCCAGGGTGGCAGTGGCTGGTTGCACTCTGTCCTTGGTAGACAAAAGATGAATGAGTAGATGGGTGCAGAGATGGGTGGGTGTGTGGTTAGGTGAGTGGATGGGTGGATGGATGGTGAGTGGATGGATGGATGGATGGATGGATGGATGGATGGATGGATGCGTGGGTGGATGAGTGGATGGATGGATGGATGGGTGAGTGGATGGATGGTGAATGGATGGATGGATGGATAGGTAAGTGGATGGATGATGGGTGAGTGGATGGATGGATGGATGGATGGATAGGTGGGTGGGTAAGTGGATGGTGGGTGAGTGGATGGATGGGTGGGGTGGGTGAGTGGATGGATGGATGGATAAGTGGGTGGATGGACGGATAGGTGGGTGGGTGGGTGGATGGATGGATGGATGGATGGATAGGGTAGGTGGGTGGGTGAGTGGATGGATAGATGGATAGATGGGTGGGTGAGTGGATGGGTGGGTAGGTGAGTAGATGGATGGATGGGTGGATGGGTGTGTGGTTGCATGGGTGGGTGTATGGGCAGATGGGTGAGTGCATGGGTTGTGGACGGTTGGGTAGGTGAGTAGATGGATGGGTGGGTGGGTGCATATGTGGATGGATGTGTGGGTGGGTGGGTATATGGATGGATTGGTGAGTGTGTGGGTGGGTGGGTGTGTGGGTGGATGAGTGAGTGAGAGTGAATGAGTGGGTGGGTGGGTGAGTGGATGGATGAGTGGATGAGTGGATGGATGGAGGGATGGATGGGAGGGTGGGTAAGTGGATGGGTGGGTGGGCAGGTGGGTGGGTGAGTGGATGGATAGGTGGGTGGGTGGGTCAGTGGATGGATGGATCGATCGATGGGTAAGTGAGTAGATGGATGGGTGGATGGGTGTATGGTTGGAGGGGTGGGTGTGTGGGCTGATGGGTGAGTGCATGGGTTGTGGACGGATGGTCGGGTGGGTAGACGGATGGATGGGTGGGTGCGTGTGTGGATGGATGTGTGGGTGGGTGGGTGTATGGATGAATGGATGGATGGGTGGGTGTGTGGGTAGATGGGTGGGTGTGTAGATGGATGGGTGGGTGGATGAGTGAGAGTGAGTGAATGAGTGGGTGGGTGGGTGAGTGGATGGATGAGTGGATGAGTGGATGGATGGAGGGATGGATGGGAGGGTGGGTAAGTGGATGGGTGGGTGGGCAGGTGGGTGGGTGAGTGGATGGATAGGTGCGTGGGTGGGTCAGTGGATGGATGGATCGATCAATGGGTAAGTGAGTAGATGGATGGATGGGTGGATGGGTGTGTGGTTGGAGGGGTGGGTGTGTGGGCGGATGGGTGAGTGCATGGGTTGTGGACAGATGGTTGGGTGGGTAGACGGATGGATGGGTGGGTGCATGTGTGAATGGATGTGTGGGTGGGTGGGTGTATGGATGAATGGATGGATGGGTGGGTGTGTGGGTAGATGGGTGGGTGTGTAGATGGATGGATGGGTGGGTGAGTGAGTGAATGAGTGGGTATGTGGGTGAGTGGATGGGTGGGTGGATGGATGGATGGGGTGTGTGTGGATGGATGTGTGGGTGGGTGGGGGTATGGATGAATGGATGGATGGGTGGGTGTGTGGGTAGATGGGTGGGTATGTAGATGGATGGATGGGTGGGTGAGTGAGTGAATGAGTGGGTAGGTGGGTGAGTGGATGGGTGGGTGGATGGATGGATGGATGGATGGGGTATGTGTGGATGGATGGGTGAACAGACAGGCAGATGGTTGTTTCTATTGGAGGTGTAGATGGCACGCGTCCTTGGTGTCCAGCTCTTTACTGTTGGGCTGGGGAATGGAGGTCCAGAGAAGGAGGGGCTGCCTGAGGCCAACCAGGGACTGATGGACTCAGACGAGTCTGCTCTTTTGCCTCCCTGCCTGGGGTTCCAGTTTAGAAAGTAGGGCAGAGCAACTGTAACTTTGCCCCCAAGGTCCTGACATTTAGAAGGGGCAAGAAGTTTAGAGGGGTGCACAGTTTCTTGGCACGTGCCTCTTCCATCTCCTTCTACAGCCATCTTGGGCACACAGACACACCACCCATACGGGCCAACCTGGTGGGCACCCGCCAAGATGGATAGCTTCAGTGGCTCCAGATTAACGCAAAGCTCCTGCTGACTGGGGCCTCTTCCTCCCCACAGTTAATATTCTCCACCTCTTCTGAGAAGAGGAGCTGCAGGGCTCATGTTGTGTTTCAAGCTGCCTGTGAGGGGCCACCACAGGGGATACAATGCTAGGCAGGATGACTCTGTCAAGCCCCTGCCCCCAAGGAGCGAAGGACTCAGGGATCCCACCTTGCTCTTACCAACAGACCCCTTTCATAAGTCCTGGATGGCCCCTGAAGCCCTCAACTTCTCCTTCAGCCAGAAATCAGACATCTGGTCCCTGGGCTGCATCATTCTGGACATGACCAGCTGCTCCTTCATGGATGTGAGCCGCCCTCCCTCTCCCATACCCCACATGCTGCTCTCCATGCACCCAGGCCTGGGGAGAAGGCTTGGCCTCACCCTGCCTCCCCTCCGCATCCCTTCCCCTGGCTCCCTGCAGGCTGCACAGAGCCCCCTCCTCCACCTGTGGGGGGCCTGCCCTCCTCAGAAACCCCCAGCATGTGCAGCACCTGCTGGGCTCTAGCAGGATGACAGCAGTGGTAATATTCAGACCATCCCACGCGACCCTCGCAGCAGCCCTCCAGGTGGTGTCACTGAGTCTTAATGGAAAAAAGCCAAGTTCAGGTGCCCTTGTGAGCATGAAGGCTGCACGGAGTTGTAAGCAACGGAAACCCAGCGTGGGCCTGAACACACCTGGCTGCCTCATGCACAAGCCCCAGGCTGGTGTGGAGGCGCCTTCTCTCCTCCTGCACATCCTTAGCACGTAGCTCCTTCTCTCATCCCTGCTGGGGCCCCTGCACCATGGCCACAGCCTGTGGGCAGGAAGGAGGGGAGGCAGAGGGCCCCACTGGCCCCATGAGCACTCCGAGGTCACTCTGGCTGCAGGGAGGCAGGGAAGTCCAGCCTGTTGCTTCCTACCCTCTATACGCAGAAGAGAAAGTGGGGAAGGCCTGCCATGCCCCAAACAAGGAAGCTCCCCTTCTCCGCAGCACCACCTGCAGGCACCGAGGTCCCCAGAAAGGACAGACACCTGACTGGGCCCAGGTTCCTCATGCTCTCCCAGACCCCCAGACTCCACCTCTGAGAAGCACCTTGCCACTCCCTTCCTTTGGAAGACTCCCAGGGAAATGAGAGCCTTCCCACTATGGAGGCTGTGTGACATCCTGGAGCGTGACCCTGGACACGCTCACACTCTGTGAAATGGGCATGCTGTCTTACTGGCTGGGTCTAGATCAGGGGGCTTCTTGGCAAGACTCTACCCTGGGAGACAACCCGCTGGCTTCTCCGAAACTCCATTTCCTCTTATGGAAGAGCTCGGGGCCCCTGGGGTCTCTGGGCATTCTTGTAGGCAGTGGCCACACCTGGATCTCCCTGGTCTCCTCCTGGATTTCTTGGTCCCTGGTCGCCCTCTGCCCATGCTGGGGCCTAGTTTCCATTTACTTAAGGTAATGCACAGAGCTGTCCTCTCTCCGTGCAGAGCACAGAAGCCATGTATCTGCGGAAGTCCCTCCGCCAGAGCCCGGGCAGCCTGGAGACCGTCCTGAAGACAATGGAGGAGAAGCAGATCCCGGATGCAGAAACCTTCGGGAATCTTCTGCCCGGGATGCTCCAGATCGACCCCTCGGATCGAATAACGATAAAGTGAGCTCAGGGTCGGGGTTTATTTTAACCTATGGATTTATCTTTCAACATCTCTCCACCCTAATACAGACACAACTAGTTGGCTTTGTAACACCTCAAAGAACTCCATCACAGACGCCCTGATTATTCCTGCACTGCTGGGCTTTTCCCAGTTCTGGCGCTCCCAAACCGTGCTGCGGCGAGTGATCCCAAATGCACCTCTCTGAGCACTGGAGGGAGCAGACTGACTCCCAGAAGGCACAGGAGGCACAGCCTCCAGGACCCACGACACTTTTAGGGTTCCAGAAAAAAATTTTCATTCTACGTTAAAAAAAAAAATTCCTAAAGACAGTGGTCACCTTTAAAATTTTCATTCTAACTTATTTTAAAATCAGAAGACAAAAGTAAATACATAACACTGGCCGGGTGCAGTGGTTCATGCCTATAATCCCAGCACTTTGGGAGGCCGAGGCGGGCAGATCAATTGAGCTCAGGAGTTCGAGTGTAGCCGGGGTAACATGGCGAAATCCCTGTCTCTACTAAAAATACAAAAAAATTAGCTGGGTATAGTGGTGCATGCCTGTGTTCCCAGCTACTGGGGAGGCTGAGGCAGGAGGATCGCTCGAGCCTGGGAGGCAGAGGTTGCAGTGAGCCAAGATCGCGCCACTGCACTCCAGCCTGGGCGACAGAGCGAGACTCCATCTCAAAAATAAAAAAGAATCCAGGCCAGGCACGGTGGCTCACGCCTGTAATCCCAGCACTTTGGGAGGCCGAGGTGGGTGGATCACTTGAGGTCAGGTGTTCGAGACCAGCCTGGCCAACAGAATGAAACCCCGTCTCTACTAAAAATAGAAAAAAAATTAGCCGTGCGCGGTGGCGGGCGCCTGTAGTCCCAGCTGCTCGGGAGGCTGAGGCAGGAGAATTGCTTGAACCCGGGAGGCGGAGGTTGCAATGAGCCGAGATCGTGCCACGGCACTCCAGCCTGAGTGACCAGAGTGAAACTCCATCTCAAAAAACAAACAAACAAAAAAAACGAACAAAAAACAAAAAAACCCCAACACTATAGCAAGGAATCCAGCCTGGGTCATATCCATCTTTATACCAATGCAGTTGTAAAATCTGGGTTTTCATGTTTCCATGGAGGCAGGGGACCACAAGGGTAAAAGTGCCAGGGCCCGGGACTGTCCCCCAGCTCTATGAGCTGAGGCTGTGCCTCCGTGGAGTACTTCCCTGGGTGTGGAATTACTGGGGTGCTTGCCGGACACACTGGGAACACTATGAGAGACCCTGCCAAATGGATCCCAAAACAGTGAGGTCAGTGTCCGGCGTCCGCACCGATGGGCAGCCCGGAGCCGGAGGCAGAGGGAGAGCCCCACGGGGTGGCGGCAGGGGGCGCTGCTGGGTTACTCAGCCCTCTCTGCTCCTCTGCTAGGGACGTGGTGCACATCACCTTCTTGAGCGGCTCCTTCAAGTCGTCATGCATCTCTCTGACCCTGTACCGGGAGACGGTGCCTGCGTCCATCACCGACATGCTGTTAGAAGGCAACGTGGCCAGCATTTTAGGTGATGTGATGCTGGGGACACACAGCTCCTGTCCATGGCCTTGGCATCCTGTTGTTTAGTTCCAGAGGGTTCATTATTTATGCCCCTGGCCTTGCTCCACACGCACGACCAGTGGGTAGGAACAGTTTCCCTCCATCCATCCCTACACACTGCCCAGGACACCGCTCTGCTCAAATACCCTCCATAGCTCCCAACTACCTATAACACAAAGTTCCTCTCCAAAGCCTGGCCCCCCACCTGTTTTCCCTCCACTCCTGCTACACAAATCCTCCATGTAGCTCAGTGGCCTAGTCACTGCCCGCGCCTCCCACAACCCTCTGCTTTTGCTTCCACAGCCTGGGTGGCACACAGTGGTCCCGGGGCGTCTTCCTCACACAGCACCACTTCCTGTGTGCCTCCTATGTGCCCGGGATGAGCGGAAGTGCGCACTTCCTGTGTGCCTCCTATGTGCCCGGGATGAGCGGAAGTGCGCTCCACTATTTGTGTGCTCCAAGACAGAGACTTGGGTTCTATCAAGGAAAAGTCGCTTGGTCTCAGTGGCCTCATCTGTAAAGTGGGGATGGTAACAGCCCCTCCCTCTCATCCTGAACCTGTAGATCCGAGGAGGGGATGCACACACAGCAGCCAGGCCAGTGTGGTGCCCAGAGACAGGGTCCTGAGGCCCTGGTCCTCAGAAAGGTCCCTCCCCTGCCTTCCTGTCCCTGCAGAGGTCATGCAGAACTTCTCTGGCTGGCCCGAAGTCCAGTTCAGGGCCATGAGGAGGCTTCTGAAAATGCCTGCAGATCAGCTAGGTAGGCCTCACCCTGCACCTCTTTCCCAGCTGCTCCCCTAGGGGCAGAAGCTATGGTCCAGCCCACGGGGAGCTGGGGCTGGCCCTCACCCTGGGCTCTCCTTGCCAGTGCTTTAGTGCAGCGTGGAGGTGTGCATGTGTCCCCAGAAGTGTCCCGTGTCTCTGCTATCCGCCTGGGGAAGGCAGCAGAGAAGGGGAATGGGTGGCGTGGCAGCCCTCACATGATTTTTTAATGGAGCCATAGACATCCCATGTACCCCACTGTCTCTATGAGGGGTATGTGAGTTGTTTCTCAGTGTCCACTATTATGAATGATACTGGAACAGACACCCTGGTGTATATGTATCTGTGCGCTTATGTTTCTGTAGCACAGATTCGTAGATGTTCAAGGGTGTGAATACTTTAAATTTTCATAGATACAGCAACTTGCCCACCTATTAAGAATGCGTGGCCTGGCACAGTGGCTCACGCCTGTAATCCCAGCACCTTGAGGAGCCAAGGCGGGAGGACTGCTTGAGCCCAGGGGTTCGAGGCCAGCCTGGGCAACAAAGGGAGAGCCTGTTTCTACAGAAAATAAAAAAAATTAGCCAGGTGTGGTGACACAGGTCTGTTGTCCCAGCTGCTCTGGAGGCTAAGGCAAGAGGATTGCTGGAGCCCAGGGAATCGAGGCTATAGTGAGATACGCTTGCGCCACCGCACTCCAGCCTAGAAGACCCTGTCTCAGAAAACAAAACCAAATTCAAAAAGGTTGTTACTGCTCATTCATGGAGAGTGTTGGGAAAAGCAGTGGGTTTTGTTTTTTGTTGTTTGTTTTTTTTTTTGAGACAGGGTCTTGCTCTATCCCCCAGGCTGGAGTGCAGTAGTGTGATCTTGGCTCACTGCAACCTCCGCCTCCTGGGTTCAAGTGATTCTCCTGCCTCAGCCTCCCAAGTAGCTGGGACTACAGGTGCATACCACCACACCCGGCTAATTTTTTGTATTTTTAGTAGAGAGGTGGTTTCACTATGTTGGCCAGGCTGGTCTCAAAATGCCTGATCTCAAGTGATCTGCCTGTCTCGGCCTTCCACAGGCATGAGACACCGTGCCTGGCCAATTTTTAAAACATTTGTGTCAAAACATACTTTCATAAAATCGTTCAACCTTTTTCACCTGCCTGAACATCACCTTCACACATCCATCCATCCATCCATCCATCCATCCATCCACCATCCATCCATCCATCCATCCATCCATCCATCCGTCCGTCCGTCCATCCATCCACCATCCATCCATCCATCCATCCATCCACCATCCATCCACCATCCATCCATCCATCCATCCACCATCCATCCATCCATCCATCCATCCACCCACCCATCTATCCATCCATCCATCCACCCATCCATCCATCCATTTATCCATCC